GGCTGTCCAGTTCTAGGCCTGATTTTTCAAAGGTTACGAAGCTCTTAACTTCATACGGTTGTTTGCTTGTTTTTTTAATGAAGGAAAATAAAACCCAGCTGCAACAAAGTTATTTTCCTCTGGCTTTCAGATTTCTCTGTTACTTAACAACATAGAAAAATACTAACATTTGCCTTGGTTGCATTAGAATTAGAGGAAGTTTGGAGTTCTGTTTCCCAAGATGAGCATAGCAAGTGCGTCCCTGGTTGGAGTGTGCCTGTTAATAGTGAATTAATCCACGCTAGTGATGGACTCGATTATAACTTGCTGCATGTATAAATTAAAAAGTACCGATTGTGCAATCAAAGTAGAGACAATAGACTTAAGGAGTCATGTCCTCTGGAATTGGATGTAATTGGAATGGAATCTATTTATTTGTTGTTAATCTGCATTGGTACAAAAATATTAAATGTACTAATCAGCTCTGTTCTCAGTAGCCTCTTCTGTGACTTACAAGTATAAAGGAACACTTTTTTGGGGAATTTGACATGAAAATTAATTTTTGTTCTGTAAAACAATCTCTCTGTCTGTTGCTTACTCATATTGTTATGTTAGACCAACCTTGGGACAATATACTGAGCTTAACTAAAGAGTTTAAATCATTGAGAGTGAGTGGATCTATTTATTCTTCATCAAAGTTATTTATAAAAGACACATATGACCATCTAATTTACAGTAAATTCAAGCACCATGGGAATAAAGAGTTTACAAATAGGATATAGTTAGAGCTGAGAGCTTGCTTTTTTCTTTCAGTCGTCAAGTTACCGGAATAATTAAAAACAAAAATACGAAAGAAAAAGTGAGTTTGCATTTTAGAGAATTTAGACTATTGAGCCAGAATTCCAACAAAAAAAGCTCTGCAGGAAAAGTTTAACTTTGGGTATGTGCTTGATAGGAAGCTAGTGAGGAGCGGGGATGGGGGGAGGAAACCAACAAACCAGGAGATGCTTCTGGTCAGTACTGATCAATTCTGATCTCTTTTGTTTGTTTGTGGTGTAGTTTTGTTTCTTTTTGTTCCTGCAATAAGGGCTTTGTGGCACTCTGGTACTCAGGATCAGTGTACAGAACTGCTATTTCTCTGATAGTCAAAAGGCTTTCTATTGTAATTGTTTCAGCAAACTGGTGTCTTGCTGGAATGCAAATATAGGTCCTGTATGTTTTCTTTTGTGAATATCTGTGCTCTTCTAGTTTGAAGAGACTCACAGGTCTATTTTTTTTTCTCAGATTTTCAAAAGCAAGTTTTTGATCTCTCCTCTTTCTTACATTTCTTCATCATTGTGGACATCAGTGTTATTTATCAGCATTAAAAAAACCCACAATGGTCTGTTTGTCTCTGAAACAACAATTGTACTTTCCTGTTCTGTTCAAACTATAGAAGAGTCCAAATCCCTGAATGGAGTGTTAGATATTACCATAATGTGAGTGATATGATAATTGGTAAAGATTCATCAGTCTTAGTGATGCATAAATGCCTATTTATGGGCTAATCAACACTTTACAGGCTTCTTTGAGAAATAGGTTTATGGATTCCTACAACTCAGCCACAGATAGAGAACCTGCTGGCTCTGAGAAGTTGCTCTTGTTCTGGTACTGTATCTGTGAGAAACGTAACACTAAATGCTCGCTCAGGAGGAAACTAACTGAGCCATTGAGTAAGAGAGTGCAGCTTTAAAAGGTGTGGAAAGAATAGAGGAAGGTGGACCCTTTTTAACTAGAATGATTTTTTTTTTCTTTTTTTTTTAAAGGGAGCTGTGCCCTTCAGTAAAGGTGTTGTTTACATATTTTCTGTAAACACAGAGTAATGCCATTGTAAAGCAAACGGTGCACTCAGTTCCTTAACAGACAAGCATATGCTTAAGTGTTTGCTCAACTAAAGCCAACTTGATAAAACTGAAGTTAAGCTAGAGGATCTGTGGTGTTGACCTGGCACTAGCACAAGTATTTCCCAACACGTGGAACTTTCACTGAGGTGTGCAGCATTGAATAGAGGTGGCAGCCTGAGTTTTCCCAAAGGCTTTGAAACGTGCAAAATACGTGACCACTCCTAGATAACCATGTTTTCAACATGCTGCTTGGTCTGCATATTGTATTAAAAAACAAAGTCTGTTAAACTCAAATCCCTCAGGAGTGATTGAGGAAAATGTCTTGAAGGTGAAGAATGGGATGCAAGTGTTCTCACTGAGAGCAGCACAGTGAATGAAACCATTTTAGCAGAAGCCTTGAATTCCCAATGCTGCTTCATATCTCCGGAGCTTTTTAATTATATTTCTACATCCATCTCCTTCTTACCATATATACAGTAAGGTAGGAGGAAGAGTTATGGGGGTGACTGAAGGGTGGCTCAGGACTGATGGAGGGAATGTGGAGCAGGTGACACAGGCATTCACTGCTGCATGACTTAGGAAATGCACTGCACTGCCCTGCAGGGTTTGAGGGACTGTGGTTCTCTTCTCCTTCACGTTCTGTAAGGAAGTCTATGCCTGAATTAACTGGGGGGTTTTGTGTGGGGTTTTTTTCCCCACGTTTTACATCTTTCTCTTACCTGGACAAACACCAAAAAGAGATGCTTACCACAAGTTAGTATTGTGTAATTTTTGTGGTGTTATTGGCCAAGTGCTTTTTTTTTTTTTTTTTTTTTTTTTTTTTTGTTATGGTATGAGACCACATTCCAAATAGTAATGAAATTACCATCCACACGGGGTGGTAAAGTGTTTGCATCCCCAGCCTGCAATTAAAGATACTGAGTTAGCAGAAGATAACCCAAAGTCACCCAAGAGATAGTTGGTAAACCTGTGGTCTAGACTATGAGATTGCTTGCTCTGTGTGTGACGCTTATTGCTACTGCTGTTGTTTCTTAGAGCTAGTTAGGCTGGAAAGGGTGAGGGAAAGGAGGAAAGCATTGTGATTTCCTAGTAGTTATCTTGCACATGCAACTGCTATCGAAAGTTAGAGATAGAATGAGTATTTGTTTGATTCATATATTCTGTGTTCAGTTTTGTAACCTCTTTTTTTAAATTGCAGATATTCTTTTTTTGTGTGTGTGTGATGCAAGTGCATAGGTCTACATAGGTCAAAACACTTCGTGAGGATACTGTGATTCACATTGGTCTGCTACCAATTAGTTTTAGTTTGTGTCATTCTAATGTTGCTTGCTATGCTTTTATTGGATCTTTCAGATTAGTCTTTAAAAGCCATATGAGTGTTTGTGGAAGGCACATACAAAAATATCACTAAAAAGTAGCTTTATTGTAGAATTGCTAGGTGTTTAGAATAGGTTCTGCAATGTTAACCATAAGGTCTTCCAGCTTTGAAAGGCTTTGCTAATGTAATAGGTTCCTAATAACCTACCTGTGCAGAAAGCTTTATTATCCTTTATTTGGGGAGGGAGATGAGGGAGGATGATGGGAGGGTGTCATAAAAACAATATTTCAGACTACCAACAAGAAACATATCTTACAAAAAAATTCAAGAGTAAGTTACTGTTTTCTGTTTCTTGTCAGGTGCTAGTGATGTAAAGCCATTGGATGGTGTGAAAATTCTTGATTTAACAAGGTTTGTGTTTTGTCTGTAATTTGGTACAGTCTGTCTAGATGCAAATATTCTGATAGGAAAAACTAAGAAAACCATTTTTTTAAATATTGCAGGGTGCTTGCAGGGCCCTTTGCCACAATGAATTTAGGAGATCTAGGGGCTGAAGTTATCAAAGTGGAAAGGCCAGGTAAGATTTTTATTTATCTATTTTAGATATAAGAAGAATGTGGGATACTTTAAAAAATAGTTGTTTATGTATTTTAAGTAATACATGACAAAGAATGCAAGATTGAAAGCTTTTGAAAATATTTAGAAAGACAATACTACGTTTATTTGGTGATGGTGTGTTTTTGGTGACTGTGTATGTTATTGTGCTAAGAAATAATTAATTTTGTAGCTATTTGGTGGGTTTTTTTTTTTTTTTATTTTGAGCCAGCAGATTTCAAGTTTTGGGAACATTTTACATCTTTGTACTATTTCTGGCATAGTGAAGAACTAGTTATTAGTAGGTTTGCTTATACGTGTATGATCTGTTTGCTGTAGGCTTAACACTGTTCTTGATGCATGTGTGTTTTGATCAGTAGTCTATGCCTATATGTAGAAAAGAGTGTGAGAAGGTTGAAGTCATAAGGTCAGGTAGCTTTTTCAGATATTAATGTACAAAACAGTACTGAGTCATCAGTTCCTGAAGTGCTTTATTCCATCACTCAAAACTAAATTGATTTTGTTTGAATTGTTTGGACTTTACTTAGATTTTTAAATTGGGCTTAGGTGTATCGTGTTTTTGTGTAATGTGGTACGAGGGTTAAAACAGGGTTTTAAGTGTAGTGTTTGACATGCAAAATTGACAAACATACAAATCCTTCCAGCAATTAGTTACATAGGAATTATGGGAAAGGTGTTTTTTCCCATTTGGGAATTTGGAATCTTCAGCTCAGTTCCCTCTGAGCCAAAACGTCTTAGGTAATTTTAAAGAAGAATACATTTTTCTACTCAGGATTAGAATACTGATAAAATGACAGGCACTTTAATTTTGGAAACAGAAACTCCACCTTCTATTTTCATTTTTTATTATTACAAGGAAGAAAGGTAATACAAGCATTTAAAATATATATGTTGTTTGTTAGCACTGCTTTTTTTAATATTATACAGATCTAGTGGGGTTGGCAAGCATTTTGACTCATAAAGTGTCTTGGCATACTATATCAACTTTCTCCTGAGAATAATTGTAATATTCCAGTATAGTTTCAGGTTGTTAATTAAAAATTACATTGTTAGAGAAATCTTTCTTTGGAATTGTGCAAAGTGAACAAAAGTTGTTTTCTGCATGAGGTGATTGTATTTTTAAAGTCTAGGGTCTGATATTCCTGTATAGGTGGAGATGGGAGTTCATTGGAAAAGGGAGACTTCTGAACGTGTGAAAATTTTCATGCTAATGCTGAAAGTGTCCGAGGTTAATGAGCTTCGACTGTGTGCTTTCAGATGCAGAAACTTGTGTAGCTCTTTGAGTCCGATTGGACTCTGGGTAATTGGCTTGATAAATAGAATTAATTTTATTTTTGTGTATTTTAACTTAACACGATGGTAAGTTTTCTTTTTCCACTCAGTGCATGCACTTCTTATTCAAAGAGTTGTTGAGGATTGGGTAATGGTAAAAAATGCTTCATTCTTATGGAATAGCTGCACTTTTTACTTTGTAAGACCATGCAAGAAGAATAACAAATTGCATGGCATTTGGTTCTTTTTTTAGAAATATTCCTGGCATTTGGCTTTCAGTTTTATGCATCATTACGCATTTGAGGCATGTAATTACACCATAGGAGCTGCACATCATGTTATGTATTTTCTCCTTCTTTAAGTTTCCATGTCTTTAGTTGTTCTCTTTTAGTATTATTAGTTTTGAAAAGAGCTGGTGAAGATAATTACACACTTGAGATACATATTGCATTACCTATATTTTATTTTAAATAGGAAATATTGAATATTTGAATGTCTAACAAAAGTTTTGTCACATCAACCTATAGGTCATCCTTAATCACTCACTACTGTTTCAAATGTTTTCACTTTTGTGACAGGGCAGAAGCTGCATCAATTTTATACTATCAGATGAGACTGACAATGGTATTATTCCAAGTATCTAGGTAGTAGGAATGGAGCAATGTCAGTGATTAACTATGAAGTAATGGTTTTGGAGACTTGCATTCCAGCTCTTAGAGTTTTGTTTTGTGATTGAAGGAGAAGTGTAGCCTGAGAATTCTGAATGTGAAACGTTTTAGAATGTGAGTAATAGGCTCTTTCTGTGAGAAGATGTCTACTTTCACAGGAGTATTAATCCATAAAGGACAGTAGCCACACTAGCATCCTACATGGAAAGTATTACTGAAATGTTTTGTTTTGAATGGCTTTAAGTGGTAACATACAGAAGAGATCCCCCCCCCGCCCCCCCCAAGCTTCCTGCTTGAACCAAAATAGCTCTCTGAGATACTAAACAGTACAAATGTTGATTAGTAACTTTTATGTTTGTATAACTTCTACCACAGTTGATCTTAAATGGTTGTAGACTTTGTGTTACCACAGTATATAGTATAATTATGACAGTGGTTTTATTGTGTAAGACCAAAGGTCCTTCAGCTTGTTTCTGTACCTATGCTAGTATCAGTCTTCTGTGTTGCCTCACTAAGGAAAGTTTTCACGCATGTGAAGTTAACAGATAGATAAAATCTAGATACTGAAATAGATACAGGAATGTGCATCCTTGCTAGCACTCAGGATGATGATTATATCTGAATTTAAATATAGCTTTAATTCTAATTAAAATAGATTGCCAGTCTTCGTGGCATTTAAGAAAGGTTTAAAATTGGAAGTTAAGCATAAATGATACAGCGACATCAGTGTCTGCAGCAGCTTTAATGCCATCTTGCCTTTCTGTAAGGCAGCAGCATTTCTGGAAGGCCTGGAGGTGGGGGACTGTACCAGCTATAGCAAATGCTTCTTTTTGTTGGTTTTCCTGCAGCATGCAGCTTAATAAGCTGTTGCTGATCAGTGGTGTCTTGAAGCTGTGTCCAGAGTGTTTCGGGAATACCTTATTGACCATGTGCAGTGTGACTCGGTGCAGGGCAAGAGCTTCTACTAAATTCTTCCGGATTGCCTAAAAGAATGGCATTGTACTCTGCTTTAAGTTTTAAAAAAAAACCCCAAACCCAAACAAACACCCCCCCCCCCCAAAAAAAAAAAAAAAACCCAACCAAAACCAAACCCCAACCAAAACCCAACCCACAAACAAAACCAACCAAAAAACCTGCAAATACATTGGTGTTGTGTGGCTGTATATCAATATTTTAAAGCCTGAAAGTAATCCCAGCACTAGCAAATGCTATGTTCACTTTGCTTAATCACGTTTACTTTTAGGTGTTTTTTTGACATAAATATCCTAAAGTACATATATTGAACTAATTCTTGTCCTGCCTGCTAGATGAAGCTTAGGTGGTTTAAATACGATGTTGGAGGAAAACTTTTTATTCTTTTTATTTGTTGGCAGTGTTATATTGGACGACTACATGTGATGGTATTTCTTTCAGGAGCTGGTGATGATACAAGAGCCTGGGGCCCACCTTTTGCTGGAAAAGAAAGTGTTTATTTTCTCAGTGTCAATAGAAACAAAAAGGTAAATGGAATGCGTATTGAACATCAGCCTATGTTTTCTGTAATTACAACTGAAGACATAACACTTCTTTGTTTGATTCTTAACATATATAATGGAGCAATGATTACATTGGCCTTAAGTTATAATGAATAAATTTCAGGAGAAAAACAGAGTTCTGTTGAACAAAAAAGGCTGCAGACCTCTGGTATGGTGCTGTGGTCAGCTGAAGCAAATTCAAAAAGCAAGAGTGGTCCTGCCAGTCCTTAGTTGCTGGTGCAAATTGTCTGAAAATGAACCCTGCTGAATGTAAGGGTTATTTTATTTGAAGGATCAGGTTTTTTAGGTGCATCAGCTCAGCTGACCTGCATTGGCTGGCAGCTGGAGCTGGAAGAGAGCAGGCATCATACTGCAGTTAGGTTGGCTAAAGGGAGGTTGTGAAACTTCAGGAATAAGATGAAGTTTCATGACGTGCCTGAGCTGTTTCGTGGCTTGTTGCCATTTAAACAAATGTTTCTGGTGTCCCCATGTGCACTTGCAGTAGTAGGTGCTGTGCAAACATACAGTGAACAGACTGCAGTGCAGCTCCCAGCTGCACGTGTCAGACTTGTTTTGGCACTTGTCTGATCCATTGGTGAGACAGTTCAGCTTGCTTTGCCAACAGAATTTTTTTTTTTTTTTGCAGGGGGAGGTGGGGTGTGTGTTAAAATTTGCTTATTTGATTTAGCTGTAATGTGAAACTTGACTGTTGGTTATGTTTAGAAGAGGCTGATAATCACCAGAAGGTCTTTCACATAAATTACTGTTGTATTTATTTTTTTTTTTGTCCCCAGAGTATAGCTATTAATATGAAGGATTCAAAAGGAGCAAACCTAATCAGAGAGGTAGGTTTTGATAGCATGTAAATTCTGCCTATTTCGTATTGTTTTGATCCTGAGTAATAAAGAATAAACTCTGCATTTCAAGTATTAACTTGATATCTAATAATTAAAAATATGTATGTGTGCAGTAAATTTGTTAAATAGCCTCTGTACTCTGTGCTTTTGGATTCATTGTTCCATATAATTTCTAATGATTTTTAGATATAAAATTTACATGAAAACGTCATCAGAAGCTTCAAATGAAATATTGTGAGGAAAAGGTCTAACAGCGTAGTGCTTTCCTTTTACTGTTGCTGTATTTGATCTTGCTGTACTACTTCATTAGAAAGATTCAAGCTGGACTGATCTGATGAAGTCAGTGAGCAGTTTACAAAGAGGAGATACTGGGCTCCAGTATTTGCAGGTTTTTGAATGTCACAGTGTATTCATGACTTCAGTTGCTGTGCATCTTTCTGAGAAATACTGTCCTGTAGGTCAAACTTAATATTTATTTCTTTTTTCAGTGTTTGGGTTCAGAATGTAAGGGTCTTCTAAGGGCGATCCATTTTGCCATTGAAAAATTAATAAAAGCATCATATTTCACATTCTGTGAAACTTGTGTTTTGTCATTCCTTTTTTATTTATTGAGAAACATAAGACCTGCTACTTGCTAGTGCTGTGTTTTTTAGCCCTGCAGTACTAACACATCTAAGAGGGTGACCTGGCTTCTGTTACTGTTTGTTTCAATATAGGTTCCAATCGCTTTTTCACAGTGAGACTGTATGTGTCCTGCGATAAGTGGAATTTGTCTGGTAGTATTCTTCTGTTGGGAATATTGCATGAAATGGAAATAGATTAAGTTGGCTCACACTTTTGGCTGTTTTTCTTCCCTGCCAGCTACGTGAAAGACACTTCATATGGAAATCTTTGGAGTTTAGAAGCCAAGGATTCTGCAGTGCTTTTTTTCTTTGCAGAACAGAACCATTTATTGTTGCTTAGTTTTGAAGCTGTATGTTTATATTCTAAAAGTTTTGAAAACAGACAGTGTCATTTGGAATAATTTTGCATGGTATAACACAGATGTGGTTTTTGAATAAACTAGTCACATTCTAAATAAGGAATACAAAAATTGTTCCTCTCGCATAAGAAGACTAGCTTGTTATTTGACCTGCAAGAATGGTGAAAGAAAAACTACGCTATGTAAAGTGTCCACTGATTCCACGTGTGTGGGCTGGACCTGTTTGAAGAGTTAAAGGCAGCTGGGCCTGTGAGTTAGGATGAGCTAGAGAAAAGATGGCTTCAGCGTAAGCTTCTCATGTGACTGCCACTGTTTGTGGTTAGGAAGTTCCCCTTTTCTCATCTTGACACTTGTGCAGGAAGATTACTGCTTGATTCTGGTTTTAAATGTGTAACTTCCTGCCTGCAATATGGAGAACCTTTTTATGGTCTGTAGAGTTGACTGGCTGGTGACTTAAGAATTTGCAACATAACCTTTGTGCTTGAGGCTCAGGTGCCTGGTTGAGTTCAAATCCCACGTAATTTTTAAATCAAAGCAGCAACTTTCTTCTCCCTCATTTGTCATGCAAGAGCAGCATCTTCTCTGTCAGTTCAGTGCTGGGCTTCCCATCCTCTTCCTACTAGTAAGATCTCTTGCACCACTGCAATGTAGAGCTATCATGATGCTGAAGATAGGATAGCTGGCAGTAAGAATACTTGCAGCTACAGACAAATGATTCCTGCCAGCAGCAATATTAATTTTTTGCTTAGCTTGATGTCACTGCAATAGTCAAGCATGTATGAGAATTACTTCCTAAGTTGTGATGTTAAGGAATTTCCAGTGGGAGAACTAGCTTTTAAATATTTACCACAGTAGCTGCGGAAATGAGATCTGCTGTGACAAAGTAATTTCTTATAGTTTCTATCTTTTATGAAAGCAACTTTAATAACCACTACAGCTTTCTGTTCCTTAAATCAAGGACATCGCTATCTGTCAGATAGCAACATTGTGGACTGAAGTGATGAGGCATTATTGAAATGTGACTCTACTTGTGGAGTTAATAATTCTGCTTGATTTAGAGTGATAGTTTTTGGAAGTATTTGGTGCAGAGGTCTTGACATTCTGTTATTGCATCTCAAATGGAAGCAGAATATAACTTCTGTTTGGAGTTTTGTCAAAAAGAATACGTAAAGGGAAGTTATCTATAGCAGGCTTTTGTTTTCAGTTGTCTCCTGGTAACATCAGGACAGATGCGTATAGAATTGAGCATTGTTCAGCAATGTATTTGTTACTATGAAAAGAAGTGTTCATGTCTGTAAAGTAATTGATGGCAAGAATAAATTCAAGTTTGTGACACTGGTTACTCATACATAAATATGCATTGTGTCCTGAGCCTAAGCCCTACAAAGAAAAGTAATAAGGTTATAATTTTTTATTAAGAAAGGTAGCATGGTTAAAATAAATTTTGTTTCCCCCTTTCTTAAATTCCATATAGGTAGAAGAGGGCAAATCTCAGAATCTAAAATCATATTAAAAACGAAGGAGTAGAGTCTTCAGGTATATGATAATTTAGTCAGTAGTATTGAGTGAGCTGAAGAAATCTGTTAATCAGGAGTCCTGGCTGCTTTTCTTCCTTTGGCACAGTACTACGAAATACTTGTCCAAGGGTCTGCTCTTTCATCATTACATGATTACATGGTTGCCACAAAATTATTCTTTGGTCATCTTTTTTATGTTTCTTTATTCTGTGTCACTTGTAACCCTGTTTTCTTTCCTAATGCTTTTGGCTCACTGTTAACTGCCTTCCAGATATTTGTATGTCTTCCTGAATGAAAATTATTTTTTCTCTTCAGTGATGGTATGTGCACCAGTTCCATGCTCTGACATCCTTTTGTTGTAATATGGCTCAGTATCTCTTTAGAGCATTATTCAACAGTTATTGTCAGAAGCTCATTTTAAGAACCTTGAGGATACCTTTCTCCTGAGTATTTAGCCTTAACTAATTAACTTTTCTATTTACTCATGAAGAACTTGGGAGAATTCAGTTGTCTGGGAGCTGCTGGCACTCTTTCTTCCTTTCCATTATCTTTAGCTGATAGGTCAGCGTGTCTCATGCATGCTCTCTCACTTGATAAGTAAACCATTCACGCACACACATATATATACATGCGTCTGTATGTATATATGTTTATGTGTGTATGTATGCACGTTCTCCTTTGTGTGGAGTTTTGTAAAAAACCAACCAAACAAAACCACGAAAAACCCCAACAACTTTTATAAGAAGAAAAAGATGTAATTTAAAGCCCATCAAAATTATACGTTAATCTTTAACTTCAGTAGATTTTTTTGGACTAGGTCATTCATTTAGATGTGATGGAGAAAGTCACATTGCAGAGCTTGACAGCACTATTCTAACTGAGGTGATTTTAAGATGTTCATTTTAACCCAATACAATTTTTGGGCTTCCTATTCTGCTTCTACATACAGGAAGTGAGATATGTGGCCTCTGTTACAGTAATTGTAATCAATGATTTTAAAATGAAAAACAACTTATAAAATTATTTCTAAGGTTGAGAAAGCATGAAGGATAAAGATGCGTACTTTCTCCCCCTTTTTCTCAAGCTAAGCGCAGGTATAAAGGTCATGGTTTTTTCTGTAAACTATCATCAAGTCTTGGGAAATTGATGTGGTACTGCTAATATATTATAGTTTTGTCTAGTCACTTTAGGTGACAGTCTTTTTTCTAGATATGCAGCATCTCCAATACGTAGTTTGCAGAGATGCACAGTCTAACATGTCAAAAAATATCTCACTAGGTTTGTAAGTGTTCTTTTGTCAGAAAGGCTGGAGCAATTTTGATTGGTGAGATTTTTAAATTAAGTTACATGAGGAATTTATTGAACTTTTCGAAGCTCATTAACAAATCTTACTCACCCTTTTCTTTTCTAAAGCTTGCAGCAGTGTCTGATGTTTTTGTGGAAAACTACATCCCTGGGAAACTGGCTGAAATGGGTCTAGGTTATGAAGACATTAAAAAGATTGCTCCTCACATAGTGTACTGTTCAATAACAGGTATTTTAATTTCAATTGCTTATGTTCATTATTTCCTTTATTCCAGTCACCTTGTTATAAAAGTCATGTGGCTATATAGAAGTAATTATTTTGGTATCAGTTAAGATAAATTGAAAGACTGAGTTTGACTGTTCAGTTCAAAAACAGGTATAGAAAAATTGGGAGGCAGCAACCATGTCAACAGCTTATAAGTTGTTCAACAGTGGCATTACCATGCCAGCCTGGCATGTTCCTATTGACTTCAAAGGAGCCAGGATTGGCTGGACTTCTTGAATTTTGCTTTGAACTAGTTGAAAATTCAGATATTCTCCCCCACCCCCCAACAGTTCTACTGTATCAGTTTACATATTGCAGGTTTCCAATCTGGTAATCTGTATTCTTTACTGCCCTGAAGCATCTCTGTCTTCAGAACTGTGCAGTTATATGTTCATGGAAGTTTTATGTTACTTTGCTACGGTCTATTGCATGGTAACTGAAGTGGTAGAAGAGTTGTAGGTACTTTAAAAATGCTGGGAAGAATGAAAAGAACGTAGACATATGAATACCAGGAACTGCATACATGTAAAAATAATTTTAAGTCTGAAAAATTGCAAAAAACACTCAAAAAAATCTTGATCAAGCATTAAAATTAAAGGATCTGTGCATGTAAAGTCTACTGTTAAAATAAAATTAAATTAAAACACAGAAGTTACAGACATTTTTAGACTGGTTTAAAATCTTAGTTATAAACCTGTTATAGAATCATAGAATAGAATCGTTTAGGTTGGAAAAGACCTTAAGATCATCCAGTCCAACCATTAACCTAACATTACCAAGTCCACACTAAACCAGTTAAGGGTAGACTAGACTAAACCATGTTATGCCTCTGAACTTCTGAAGAATAAATGGCTTTGGCTTTTTAGTTACTGGGTATTGATGTCATTTAATAGGAACCAAATAGCTTTTTAGTCTGTTGTGATGTATTTATCATGTGGCAAATGCCTGAAGAAGACAAGAACAGGAAAGCAATTATATTCAGGGCTTGCTGGGAATCTCTTTGTTTAAATACATTTGTAGGTTGGTCAGTGGCTAGTTACCACAATGTTTTTCACATTTGCTTGCGCGTGTAATGTCACAACTGGAATTTGTCAAGTGCTTTTTGAATTTCTTTTGTTTAGTTGCTGTACCCATAATTGATGAAAAAGAATAAAAATTATATCCAAGCTACAATTTATGTGAGGCAGCTTGGCCTTTGGTTTGGTTTTTCCATTCACACTACATGTCAGCTTTTGAGTGCTTTTCTATTTTACTGGTAATAGACAAAAGAACTTATTTGAAGTGAGGGCCTAAGGAAAGGTACTACTTAATTTCACAGAATCATAGAATTGTTTAGATGGAAAGGACCTTTTGAGACCATCTAGTCTAACCCCCCTGCTCTAGCAGCGTCAGCTACAGCAGGTTTCCCAGGACTGTGTCCAGCTGGGTTTTGAGTATTTCTACAGCTGCTCTGGACAACCTGTTCCAGTGTCTGATCACCCTCACAGTAAAAAAGTTTTTCCATGTTCAGGAAAATTTGCCCATTGCCTCTTGTCTTGTCAGTGGGTGCTACTGAGAAGGGTCTGGCTTCCTCTTGCTCATTCAATCCCATTGGATATTTATATACATTGCTAAGATCCCCCTGAGCTTTCTCTTTTTTTAGGCTGGAGAGTCTTACCTGTCTTGCCCTCTCATCATATGTCAGATGCTTCAGTCTCTTTAATCATCTTTGTGACTCTGTACTAGACTTGCTCCAGGAAGTCCGTATCTGTCTTGTACTGGGGAGCCCAGAACTGGACACCGTATTCCAGATGTGGCCTCACCAGTGCTGAGTAGAGGGGAAGGATCTCATCTCTCAACCTGCTGGTGACACTCTTCCTAATCATTGCAAAATACTCCTGGCCTCTTTTGATACAAGGATGCATACTTTTGTACGTTCTGTTTAAGCGCTCTCTGACTTCCTCCACTGAGGGTAAGTCTTCCTTGCTGCAGACTTTCCCTCTAGTGTGAGGGACCTAGGACTCCTGAGGGCCATCTTCCCTGGTAAATACTGAGGCAAAGGCAGCATTAAATACCTCTGTTTTTCTCTGTGTCCTTTGTCACCAATTTCCCTGCCCCATTCTGCAGTAGGTCCACGTCTTCCGTAGTCATCTTTCTGCTGCTGATTTGCTTGCAGAATCTTTTCTTGTTGCTCTTTGCATCTTTTGTCAAATTCAACTCCAGGTCAGTCTTGGCTTTCCAAACCATATACTTGCATGATCAAACAGCAGCTCTGTACTCCTTGTAGGTCACTTGCATCAGTTTTCACCTCTTGCAAGCTTTCATCTTATTGTCAAAACAAGTTGGACAAAGATAATTCAATTTTCCTGTTTAAAGCTTTGTGTAACACATAGCTTACAGTTATGTTACAGTGAAAGACACATAAACATTAAAAATTACATAAATACATAACTAAAGATTCTTTATTCATGGAATATGATCATTTGAGGTTGAAGCTGTTTGGGAGGTAAGAGCTAAGTGATTTTTTTCAGGCACTCATAAAACAACTTCAGATCTTAAATTATGGTTGCTTAAGTCCTGGACATCCAACAGGTGACAAGGAATATCTATTTAAGGATGATGCATCTTTTAGGAATAAAGACATAAAATCTCTAGTACCCTTACAAAACAAAACTAAAACCAAAACAAACCTCAAAAAAACCCCCAAAACAAAAAAACAACCAAACAAAAGACAGATCAGAAATCAATTAAGCCGAGGCAGGAAATAACAAAGCCTTAATCTAAGCACATTAAAAGAAGCAACCAGACTAGGACCAAAATGTGCATCTCTCACAGAGAGGGCATGATGGTGATACTTAGGCAGTAAGGGGTTTTTTTTGGCACAGTCGGGCAGAAAACTGATTTAAGAAAGAATTTGTGATTGATTTCTAAAAGCTCTGTGGCCTGATTGTAGATATTAGAATTCAAAACTGCTTTGTGCTGTGGTTGACTCTACTATTATCAAAATATCTCCTTTTTAATTTTTTTTTGTGAAGGGGGGCAGGAAGATACTAGAAGAGGTTTGATGTACTAATGTTTAGCTTTAAAAAAAAAAAAAATCAGTTGAAAGGAGACCAAGTTGTTAAAATAGTTGCTGATAAAAATTGCTTAGATTAGCAGCTCAGATTAAAACATGAATGCCTATGGAAAGAGACCAAGAGAACTCTTGTTTGTTTTTGTTTTGTTTTTCCATCACAAATAAGGCTAGACAAACAGCAAAGGAGGTTGGTAAAAGCATTAAAACATCTTTATGGTAGCTAAGTTATGTACGCTACTATTTATTATAGGGAAGGTTAGGGAGTTTCCACACTTGAGCCATTTTCTGCAAGGGATCAATTTGAGAAACTTTGTTAATCTGAATATCCAATATAAAAGGTTTTTAGAACAAGTTGGTAAATGAATATTTATAAATCGCCTGTAGCAGTGTATCCAAGTAAGGCGAACTTTTGGTCTGATCCTGTGTTGTTATGAAGACATGTAATAACTTTGCCAGTGAAGACACACACACAAAAGTAACTGACCATGTCAAGCTGTTCATGTAAACATAGGAATTAATTCACTCTCCTTTTCTGAAGCAAACAGTGGACCTAATTGGCAATCCTTTGCTTTTGCAAGGCACCTCTCACCATGTTGCTTGCTATTCGTAGTGTTCAAGTGCTTTTCTTCTTTTTCTTCTGAGTTCTTGGATGTGGAGGCCTATTCAAAATAGTGGGACTCTGGGCACAGAAATTTGTCTGGAAGCAGTGTCTTGGATGTTTTAATGCTGGGCATTGCGATGTTTGACCCAAAAACCAGGTTTATGTAAGTTGAGGCATCAGAGTTGGATGACTGGTTTTGTGAGAGATTGGTGCAGAAAGCAGGTAACTGCATTCTGGAAGGCCATCAAGAAGTGCTCAGTTCCCTGACTTGAGACAGGAGCTATGCTTGTGACAACATAACAGGATAGGGATTGGTGTTGAAGTGGAATGAGCTGAGACACGCTGAATCTAGTAGGTTCCTGAGAGCTCAGATGTAATGTTTCAGATAGAAAGAGACTGAGAACACAATCTAAGGTTTTTTGGTAATGCCATAGAAAGTTATGTGTATATAAAATGCCTAGCTAGGGATATGGAAAATACGAGTTAAGGAACATCCAAAGAGAAGTATTGTTTGTCAGATGTAAGAGATGTGCTGGCTTGGAACATTGAATTAAATGGACTGGTTGTCTTCCCAAATGTTGAAAATTGTTGAGACAAATTATCTTGGTTACAGCAACCCCTTTTACATCTAAACAGCAGGATTTCATCCATCATTTGGCATCTTACATACAGGCTGTACAGGAGATAATAGAAATATATGAGTTCTCAAGCCCTTTCTGGTTTGCAAGTCCTGTGAAGGATAATGGATACACAATATAACATGAAGCATGAATTATGTTCCAAGGTCTTTGAACAGAGGATCGGAATGGTTTATGCTGTTTAACTCAGCCAATTTTGAGTATGCTTTTTTAAGTGTGTATTTTATGTATCATAACTATTGTTAACAGAAAAAATTGTCGGTCACTGTTAATGACTATCATGAACTATATTGCATTTTAGATGTAGAGACAGATATTTTGGCGTAACATTTGATAATAAATAAGTAACCAAGAAATAAACATGTCCAGTGTGTTAGAATCAGAGTGTTTTTCCAACTTTAATTTTTTATTTTCTTGGTTTTTTCTTGTTAGTCAGTATACATGCTGAAGACATTATAGCCTATTCATTTAATAAATTACAAATAATTACTGATCATTAATTCTCTTATCCATTTAGTTAACTCATTAATGAGACTGGGTATCATCTGGAATGTTTTGGTTTCTTGTTTTTGGAACCATATTAGCTTTCAAGTTTAAACTTCATAGGTATGGAATGCAATCAATAAACAAGTAATGTGAAGGAATGAGTTTCACCCTGCAGCATACTTCG